CGAGGCGCAGGGCGGATACATTGAGTAAAATGTCTCAGAAAAGATCCCTTAACCCAGCTATAAAGCAGTCTATTTATGTTTTTTCATATTTTCTGAAATAAACAACTTTTTCGAGAAAAAAATTTTTGTCCGGATTTAAGTGGCGGACCCAGTATAATATATTTTGTAATACTAATCTATTATAATTATTTGCACAAGAATGCAGCGCAGTGTCGAGCCAACGATAGTCGTATAGACTCGATCTACGACCGCATAATATTACAAATAACGAAACGAAGAATATGCGAAAGAGAGAGCAAAAAATCACTAACGCTTGTCGGCACCTCCTCTCGTGGCTGCTTTGCTCACACAACTTTCGGCAGCTTCCTTGCCCTAATCTCGCTTGGTGTTAGATTTTTCCCCAAATTCCTCCTTAGGTTTTAATTACCGGCACTCACTCACAGCACGGTATACGTCGTTACAAGAGGCGAAGAACTTGCGTCGTTCACGGCACGCACAACAATGATCTCGGCCGATTCTGAACTTGCTCTCGATGCCGCATGTCGTTTCTCAGCCGGGTAATTAGCCAATTATACTTTGCGTTTCGCGGCGCTATGATATGACGGCGGCCACGTGCGTATCGGCAATGTGTTAACGCGGGCCCTTTTCTGGCCGCGTCAGCCCTCTTTACTTAATTTCTGCTGCAGATGCTCGTTCGGGCCCATACTCCCGCATGACGGGGCTGACAACTCCACTGGGGGCCCCGCTCCAGTTTTTGGCGAAGTCGGGGTATCGGTATCCCCCGTTTTCCAGTCCGTCGTCGACATCATCGCCTCGCGCTTTGCGCCTATGAGGCCTTTACGCCCCTGTATCGCTGTCTGTCCTTATCGCCTCTCCTCCTTGCTCCTTTACGACCGAAGCTACGTGTCGTGAGCCGCTCTCTTTCTTTAAGCTGAAAGGAATTACAAAATAACCGCCAAGCGGTTCGCACGGCAAAATCACAATTTAGGGGCGTTCGAACGTCAAAATTAGCCTGAAAATACATGAGTAAAGATTAATAAACATCGCGTTGTTTCAATCAGAAATAGCAAACGCTGTAGGCGCCAAGCGCCTCCGCTGATACACGCGTTGTCGCTTGTCGCGCGCATCCTAACGAGCTGCTCTCTCTAAATCGTGGAAGACGCAAGCCCATCGCCTCTCGTGCCGGCCGGAATTATTTCCTTGTGACGGACACGAAAAGTGTCACGTCACAGTACATATATATACATGAATAAGAAAATATAAAAGACATTGTAATACTTACAATTTTTGTTGTTTTATTGTGTGTAGTTGTACTTGTAATTGTAATAAGTAATATCTATATTTATTTTATTTTATTTTATTATTGTCAACATTTACTGTTACAAAGGTTAGATATGTTCCAGAAAAATTGCTGCAGATACAGATGTACACTCGTGTACACACACACACACACACACACACATGTAACGCGCAAGATAATAAGAATCACATTAGTCGATCGGTTTCACAATAGGCTAGTTTTGTCCATAATTGAGCGCGCATGTGTATGTACAGTACTGAACTATTACAAACTTCCTTTCCTTCTCATCCGTTCACCGTCGTATGTATTCTTATACTTATTTCTTATACTTATCTCTTGTCTCTTTCTTTCTCTCTCCCTTTCTCTCTCATTCTTTTTGATTTTAACTTTTTTGATGAGAATAAATTTTTAAATGATCTTTCCAGTCATGACTGGAATCAGCTTCTGAGTACCAATGATATCAATCAAAAAGTCTAACTATTTAATCAATATCTCTTGGCTAGTCTTGATGGAAATGCGCCATTATAAAAACCATACATCCAAAACATATGCCTGCGCCTTGGCTGACTACTGAAATTAAAACGCAAATGTCAGAGCGTGACAGAGCACGTAGAAAATGGAGGAGATGTAAGAGTGAAGCCAATTATGCGCTGTATAAAGCGTTAAGAAATAGAGTTCAAGTCATTGTACGTAGAGCTAAGGAAGAATATCACCTGGCTACTCTCTCTGGATTAAAGGATCCAAACTCTATTTGGAAGGAGCTCAGGAGACTCGGCCTCGTAAACACAAATTCGTCCAAATTTACACTTCCTTTCTCTACAAATGAACTGAATAAATTCTTTTCTACTCGCTTGCCATCGTTTTCTATTGTGGATGAGACTTATGATATACTTGAGGATGAATCTTATTATGACGACGATAAGCTGTATTGGAGAAATATTGATGTTCTGGATGTGATTAATGCCTTGGATAGTAACAAATCCAATGCTGTTGGTATAGATGGCATATCTCCGAAATTGATTTTTACAGCTCTGCCTTGTATTCTTCCTATTATCGTGCATTTATTCAATTTTAGCCTTAATCAAGGCGTTTTTCCAACTGTTTGGAAATCTGCAATCATCTGTCCTGTGTTTAAAACCAGGAACCCGTCTGAACTGCAACATTTTCGACCTATTTCTATCTTATGTGCAGTTTCTAAGGCGCTTGAAAATATAGTGGTGACTCAGATGACGGAATTCTTGGAGAAGTCAAATGGACTGGACCCGTTTCAAAATGACTACAGACGAGGATATTCTACACAGACTGCCTTGATCAGAGTTATTGATGACATCAGATTAGCTGCTGACAAAAGAGAGATTACTGTCACAGTGTTCTTTGATTTTTCGAAGGCCTTTGACTATGTGAATCATAAACTTTTATTTAAAAAACTCTATAATATAAAAATTTTTTTGCTTTCACCCTACGTTGGCTGCATTCGTATCTCGAACATAGAGTGCAGTCTGTGCGTGATCCTGCGACTTACTCTTTTTCTGAAGATCAATTAGTTACGGCTGGTGTTCCTCAGGGATCTGTTCTTGGTCCTCTACATTTTACTCTCTATGTATCTGATTTTGGAAATACTTTAAGGCATAGCAAGTACAGCTACTACGCAGATGACCTTCTCATCTACCTACATTGTACACCTGACTCTATTCATGAGGCTATTCGTCGCATTAATGAAGATATCTTCTATATCGAGGAGTGGGCATTGAGAAACGGACTGGCATTAAATTCTAAGAAGACCTCTGCAGTTATCTTTGGATCGGCTAGATTTATCAATTGCCTTAAATCAGGAAACTTACCTAGTGTCATTGTGAACAACAACGCAATTCCTTTTATGGACTCGGTTGTATACCTCGGTGTTACTCTTACTAGTAAACTTTTGTGGGAGAGCCATGTTACTTATATTGTTTTGCGTGTAAATATGACACTATACAGACTAAAAATCAATAAGCAATCNATTCCTCTGACTCTTCGCATCAGATTAGTCTCTGGTCTCATCTGTCCGATCTTTGACTACTGTTGTTCTGTTTTCTCGGATCTAACCGCTGAACTTGACCTGCGTCTACAACGTGCCTTCAACTCTTGCATAAGATTTATTTTTGATTTAAGGAAGGATGAACACATTACTCCGTTTTTCAACAAACTTATGTGGCTCAAAGTCAAAGCTAGAAGGCATTATTTTATGTGTTGCTTCTTGTACAGCATAAAACGAACTCAACGGCCACCTATTCTATACAGTGGATTGACATTTAGAAATGAGGAATCCTCTCGCCACACCAAGGCTTCTGAGGACATGCTGTCTATACCCATCTGTAGGACTGAAATATTCAAACAATCTTTTAGATGCTATTCTGCTGAGTTGTGGAATAGCCTTCCGGCAGACATACGCGCGATAACTAGTTTAGATATATTTAAGGCGAAGCTTCATAGTCATTTTATGAAGAACAATTAACTATTATTGTCAATTAACCTGTTATTTTATATTGTTATTTTATATTGTTTTTTGTATATCATATTTTATTATCTCTTTTTTTATTCTCTTTTTTGTTTCTATTTTATTATTCTTTTTCTTAAGTTTTTCTTTCTTTCATATGCTTTAGATACTATATGATTATTGTAAATTATATTGCTACTTCTGCGCTTTAGGGGGGGGGGATGTTATCCCAGAGCGCGATACAAATAAAGCATTCATTCATTCATTCATTCATTCTCTCTCTTTTTTATCTCACATCTCACATCACTTATTGCTTTTCTTTCTCTTCTTTCAACGCTCGCATTGCCATCTGTTGTCGGAATGCGCGAAACTGCACACATTCCAAAAACGACGATGACGACGACGAATTCCTCATAATGTGATATTCAACACTGGGTTTTGCTTTATTTTTCAATATCTTCGAATAGAAGCCACAAACAAGAAAAACATAGGAATACTTTTTCGAACAAGTTTTTATTCCGATTTGATTGAGACAAAAACAAAATCGATCGGTTTAATCGTTTCTGAGATATGTATTTTTAATTCTTTCTTGATATTCAAGTTTATCAGTTTTCGCGTAATAGAGGCCGAAGTGCCTCGCGCCGGAGTGCGTTCGCGCGACTTCGTTGCGCGTGAACTTGGTGCGAGGCACTATCGTGTTTTGTGATAATTTACCTCGAGTTGATTCTTTACTTTTTTTGTAATTATTTCACAATTTTATTTATTTAGAATTAATAATGTGATTTATTACTAACGGAAATTATCTTCCATTGCTGCTGCTTGCTGCTCTCTATCTGCCATAGAAATGACAAGCGAGAAACAATGTAGAGTCGCGTACGTTTTGCTGCTTTGAAAGGTATGCGCTGCATATATTTATAAACGTTTCGTAATTTTTGCGTATGCTGCGTGTGTATTTTATTGTGTGGTGAAGTCTTCAGCATATTTTCATGTATATATTTTATGTATTCCTTTTATATATAAAGTATATTTCATATCAAATATTATATATTATTTGATTTATGTATATTTGATCAAATCTGTATAACGTAACAAACGTGATAATACAGTGTGACGTGATATTTTTGCGAATAAACGTGTCTTTCATACGTTTTCTTAAGTTGTCACGTCGGTGAGGAAACTGAAACAGTCTCGACAGTAAAGTTTAATAAACTTTCCGTTTTTTTCTAAGTAGAATTTTTTGATTTTGTCTTTATTGTTATAAAAATGTGCAATTCAAATGTGTTACAAACAAATATACGCAAAGCTTTGTAGAAGCTTGGCTTAACGATATTCGATGTAAATCCTGGATACAAAAAGTACCATTAAACGATAGTGTTTTTCATTGCACTGTATGTCAAAACAATGTTTCTTGTAACACAAGCATTTCTAAGCATGCGGATTTTGTAGGTCATAAAAATAATCTTAAAAAAACATTTATGGTTTCTCAAATAAAGAACATGTAAATTTAAAAACAAATAAAACTAAGACATAAATTTAACAATCAATGGTTGGAAATAAAACAATTTCAACCATGGTTACGCAAATCACGTGACGAAAACTTATTTTTTTGTTCGTTTTGTGAAAAACATATGTCTGCCAGATTGTCAAGCATTTAAAATCATGCAGAATCCGCATCACATCTAACAATAGCTCAAACCAAAAATGTAGAATATGCAAAAACTAACATTGATCTCAATATGACAGACAAATGTTTATCGTTTGAGAAGCAAAAATAGCAGCAAAAATTCGATTTGCTGCGTTTATTGCTGAAAAAAATATTTTGCTTTAAACAGCAAAAGAAGTTTGTACACTTTTCAAGCAAATAGGAAAAGATTCTGATATATCAAAAAGCATGACAATGGAACGACCCAAGTGTCAAAACATAATTTCAAATGTATTATGTCCCGTTGAAACGGATTGTGTGGTCGACATGATTCAAAATATCAAATTTTCTGTTGTTATAAGGTATTGGTGTCAAGTTAATCAGTGTGTTTAGTTATGTGTTTTAGTTATATGTTTTAATTATGTAATTTCAGTATATATTATCAGTTAGTATAAAATGCTTGTTTTAAGGTCGTCAAAGCTACTGGAATCCAACGCGAGGATGCAGTCAGCGTTTGTTGCGCGAAATGTGATAGCGCGTCCGAGGACACGTTGACCAAAGATCGCACGTGCGGCCGAAAAGATGCAATGGTCCGTATTGCACTTTTCGGGAACCTGATATCGTCCGACTTTTCCTCAGCCAATCACGATTGATTAGCTGAGGCATAAAAGCCGGTACTAGACCGTGCGTGGGCAGAATCGTCCCGAATAGTTCCGCGGCCGGAGGCTCTGCGCGATAGAACATCGCCTGTTTATACTTATAAAAATAACGTGGGTAGTGATAGAAGTGTACACCGATAAAAAAATAAAGAAAGTGTATTTCTTTCAAAAGAACATATACAGAGTGATATTATTTATTCCCGGCGTCCCTCTTTGCGGCATCCAAAAGATCCCACGGGATAACACTATTTTTATTGATGAAACGTCAGACATTTCTAATCAGAAATGAATGACGTTTCTTGTTCGATATGTTTATCCTGAAACATGAAACATTTGCTCGCAATTAATCAAATTAATTGATACCGACGCAAGAAATAGCAGTGCGGAAAAATTATTTGACGCCTTTAAAGCTAAAATGTGGAAACTAAAAATTTCATTTTTAAATATTATTGCCTTGTCATGCGACAATGCGCACGTCATGACAGGCACATATTTATCATTTAAAAAAAAGCTTGGGAAACTTTGTAAACATTTATTAACATTATCATGTCCGTGTCATTCCGCTGGTCTAGTTGCACATAATGCGTGCGATAAGATTCCTGACTATTGTGAGGCATTTGTAAAAAACATAGCAAATTATGTTAGCAATAGTCCCAAACGATCTGCTATTTTTGACGAATTTTGTGAAAGTTTTCAGGAAACAAATCGAAAACTTTTAAAATTGGCCGACACATGATGGCTTTCTCGGCATTCATGTATTAAAAGATTTCTAGAATTTTGGGATAATATCAATTATTTTTTAATTAAAATAACAATGAGTGAAAAAACAAAATCAGGATATATATTATCCTGATATAGAATATTTATTATCTGTAATGCGAAAACCTGATGTTAAGGCATATTTATTATTTTTAAAGCATTGGAAACCAGAATACAGTTGTTACAATCAAAATCACGTCAATTGTTTGTTGAGATCGGGGAAAATGAAGAACTTGGTGATGAATAAGATTCTTTTATAAAAAACTGGCGTAGTTTATTACTACCAAGTTTACAATTACTGTACAATAACGCACGCTTATACTGACACTTAGCTGTTGCTTTACTGCGGTAAACTCTCCGGATGGACTCAAAGCCACACAGTATTGTCAACAGCTACTCACGATCTGTCTGTCGTTGCTCGCGATCGATCTTTTGAAGGGATCGATCGCGACCATTCAGCAATTTAGCGACCTAATTGCTACTGCACGTAGGCCGCTGACGTTACGTGCCGCATCTGTATCCTACTTAACACTACGCTTAACAAGCAGATTTCATTTACAAGGAAATGCTGCTTGTTAACTTTTTAACCTTTACGCTGCCGGAGCGTCTATATATAGACGCTGTTGAGCAGCCTATCAAAACATGCATAAACTTCCACAAGAAGTATATATAAATACGTATAAGTACTTATATATAGTATATGTACATACATACACTCCCTCTTTCACACACACATACATACGCGCGCGCGCGCGCGCATACATATTTTGCCCCTAAATGTTTCATGCTCAGTATTTTACAATTGACTAAGGACTCGGTACACATTATAATCCTATGCTTAGTTCCGATTTCTCAAAAGTAATTAAAAAAAAAAAAAAAACAAATTCAAAAAAAATTTAAAAATTTAAAAATAAATTAAAAACTAAACAAAAAAAACATGATAAAAACACACACACAAAACAAAACTAAACAAACACAAAAAAATGAAAAAAAATGATTGGAGCCACAATATCTATCTACGTCCCTGCCATTGGCGGGGTAACGCTGAAGGAGAGTAATACAGCCCTAAAAATTTACTGTACTCAAAAACTAACTTCACTATCGTTTTTAATGACCTCAAAAACCTAAAAAAACAGATTTTGAAACAAAAAAAAATTTTTAGGTTTTTCCGGTCTAATACGCTGCCGGAGAGTCTATATATAGACCCTACCTATGATCGCAACTTTATATAAGTTATATAAAAGATACAACCACAAAATTGTGAAATTTTCTAAGGGACATAATGTTCTTCAAATTTCGGCAGCGTGAAGGTTAAATAAATTCGAGTCGATTGAGCAATGACGCGTACCTTCCGCAATTGCTCAATGGCCCGAACAAAATTAAACTAAATTTCACTAAATTTAACAACATTTTCCCCCTTCTTGAAAGAACAAAAATGTATCGCCATTTTCCGCTTACTATACTAAAACTTACTATACTAAAACACGGGCACCGCGTGCCCGGGTTGTCGAGCACTCAGCTTTATATCTCGAGGACTGAACATCTCTCGTCTCGCTTGGAGTTTTCTCTTTTGTAACCAAAAACATAAACTCACGATTGTTACAATAACCAAGGTTACGTTTACCAAAGTCGGAAGAATAAAGTGCGGCTGCTTATAAAATGTGTAATCAACAAGATCATTTTTTTTTGTAAGTCGTGTCAACTGTTCTTCTAACGATCGCAACTGCACTTTGTTTCGCGTTACACTTTCCAATTCCATGCCGTTACTTTTCATCTGTCCCCTTTTTCTTGGTGCCGTGATATTAAAACGCGGTAAGAACGTACTTATTCCCACGACCTTTACTACTTGGTTAGTTCGCGCTATAATACTTGCTGTGGTCAATTCGCATTGCTCCGGCAGCTCTATTTCCCCGACTCCGGATATAACCTCCATTCTTTCTGATTCGTTTTTGCACGTA